AAAAAAAAGGGAATTTTGGGGAAAAAACCTGGAATTTTAAGGGGAAAAAAGGGAATTTGGGGGGGAAAAAAAGGGAATTTTGGGGGGAAAAACCTGGAATTTTGAGGGAAAAAAGGGAATTTTGGGGAAAAAAAGGGAATTTTGGGGAAAAAATGGAATTTTTGGTTAAAAAGAAAGGGAATTTTGGGGAAAAAACCTGGAATTTTGAGGGGAAAAAAGGGAATTTGGGGGGGAAAAAAGGGAATTTTGGGGAAAAATGGAATTTTTGGTTAAAAAATGGAATTTTGAGGGAAAAAAATGGAATTTTTGGGAAAAAAAAGGGAATTTTGGGGAAAAAACCTGGAATTTTAAGGGGAAAAAAGGGAATTTTGAGGGGAAAAAAGGGAATTTTCCGGGGAAAAAACTTGGAATTTTGGGAAAAAAACCCTGGAATTTTGAGGGAAAAAAAGGGACTTTTTTGGGAAAAAAAAAAGGGAATTTTGGGGAAAAAACCTGGAATTTTGGGGGGAAAAAAGGGAATTTTGGGGGGAAAATGGAATTTTTGGGAAAAAAAAAGGAATTTTGGGGGGAAAAAAGGGAATTTTTGGAGAAAAGCCTGGAATTTTGAAGGAAAAAAAGGGAATTTTGCGGGGAAAAAATGGAATTTTTTGGGGAAAAAAAAGGGAATTTTGAAGTTTCTTGATGGAAATTTTGGGGGTTTGGGGCTCTCAAAGGAAAATTTGGGATTTTTTCGTTGGAATTTTGGGGTTTTTCGGTGGGAATTTGGGGTTTTTGTTTAAAATTGGGATTTTTGGGGCTGAATTTGGGATTTTCTGTTGGAATTCGGGGCTTGTTTTGTTAAAATTTGGGATTTAATTGTTGGAATTTGGGGTTTTTTGGGGGATTTTGTGTTGAAATTTAAATTTTTCCTTCAGAATTCGGGGTTTTTTTGTTGGAATTTGGGGATTTTTGGGTCGAAATTTGGGATTTTTTTGTTAAAAATTTAATTTTTTCTCTCGGAATTTGGGGATTTTTTTGTTGGAATTTGGGATTTTTGGGTCGAAATTTGGGATTTTTTTGTTAAAAATTTAATTTTTTCTCTCGGAATTTGGGGATTTTTTTGTTGGAATTTGGGATTTTTGGGTCGAAATTTGGGATTTTTTGTTAAAAATTTGTGGTTTTTTTGTTAAAATTTAATTTTTTCTCTCAGAATTTGGGAATTTTAGGTCGAAATTTGGGATTTTTTGTTAAAAATTTGGGGTTTTTTTCTTAAAATTTAATTTTTTCTCTCTGAATTTGGGATTTTTTGTTGGAATTTGGGATTTTTTGTTAAAAATTTGTGGTTTTTTTGTTAAAATTTAATTTTTTCTCTCAGAATTTGGGATTTTTGGGTGGAAATTTGGGATTTTTTGTTAAAATTTAATTTTTTCTCTCCCAATTTGGGATTCTTGGGGCAGAATTTGGGGTTTTTTTGTTAAAAATTTGGGGGTTTTTTGTTAAAAATTTGGGTTTTTTTTTTTTTGTCGGAATTTTGGGGTTCCCGACCCCTCTTTCCCCCTCCAGGTTCCGGAACGTTCTGGAAAGATCCCGAAATTCCCGGAGCTCGTCTGGAGCCCCTGCTGGCCCGGGGGGGGAAACCCCAAATTCCCGATTTTCTGAAATCCCAAAATCTCCCGATCTGGCCCCAAAATTTGGGATTTTTAATTAAAAATAAATCCCCAAAAATTTTCTCATTTCTCGGCCCCAATTCCCCTCCCCCCCGTTAATGAAGCGGGGGCGTTAATTAAACTCATTAACGAGGTGATTAATAAACGATACGCTGGTGACGTCATTGGCTCCGCCCGCTTTATGCTAATTAGGGTTAATTACCGCCTTAAATCCGGGGTTAATTAATGGGAGGAGTCCTCGGGGAAGGGGGGGGGAGGGGAGGCGTTAATTACCCCCGCCGCTCTTAATTAATCCCTTAATAATTAACAAATCGCGTCGTTAATTACCGCGGCACTTCCGCGTTCCCACAGCGACGAGGAGGGGGCGTGGTTTAAAACGGAAGCGCAACTGCGTTACAAGAGCGGCGCTGATTGGCTGCGGCGTTGCTGGGGCGCTCTGATTGGCTGCGGCGTTGCTATGAGCTCTCTGATCGGCTGAGGCGTTGCTATGAGCTCCCTGACTGGCTGCGGCGTTGCTATGAGCGCTCTGATTGGTCTTGAGGTTGGCGCGTCATTTCCGCTTCCGGCATCACGTGACCGGCGGCGTTCTTAAAGGGGCCGCGTCTCATTTCGGGGGGTGTTTTGGGGGGGGGAGGGGAATTTTTGGGGGGTCCCGGGGGGATTTTGGGGCTCCCGGGAGGTCCCGGGGGGGTCCCGGGGTGATGGGGGGGGAGAACGTGTTCCTGTTCGTGCCCAACCTGATCGGTGAGTGCCGAACTGGGAGCGACTGGGACGAACTGGGAGCGACTGGGAGGGGATTGGGGGGAACTGGGACAAACTGGGATGAACTGGGAGGGATTTGGGGGCAACTGGGACAAACTGGGAGGGGTTTGTGGGGTACTGGGACAAACTGGGAGAGGTTTGTGGGGTACTGGGACAAACTGGGATGAACTGGGAGGGGTTTGGGGTGAACTGGGACAAACTGGGATCAACTGGGAGGGATTTCGGGGGGGGTTACTGGGGATTGCTACTGGTTCAAACTGGTTCAAACTGGTTCGTGTCGGTTTGAACCGGTCCCTACTGGTTTATACTGGTTTATATTGGTGTGGTTTATTCCGGTTTGTACTGGTTTGTACCGGTTTGTACCGGTTTATACTGGTTTATACTGGTTTATACTGGTTTATAGTGTTTTATATTGGTTTATACTGGTTTATACTGGTTTCCATGCATTTCCATGGGGATTTTTGGGTCCATACTGGTCCATACTGGTTTATACTGGTCCGTACTGGTTCCCAGGCTACGCCCGGATCCTCCTGGCCGCCGTGGCCTTTTGGCTGATGCCCACCCGGCCGGGGCCGGCGGCCGCCTGCTACGGCCTGGCCGGACTGCTGGACGCGGTGGACGGACACATGGCGCGGCTGCTGGGCCAGGGTGAGACTGGGAGCACTGGTTTGTACTGGGAGGGGACTGGGAGGGGTTTGGGATGAACTGGGAGGGACTGGGATGGACTGGGATGAACTGGGAGGGACTGGGAGGGGTTTGGGATGAACTTGGAGGGGTTTGGGATGAACTGGTTTATACTGGGACGGACTGGGAGGCTCCCAGTTCCAAACTGGGCCCAATCCCAGTCGCCATTACTGGTTTGTGTTGCTTTTTACTGGTTTTTACTGGTTTTTGCCATTTTTATACATTTTTTCCCCATTTTTCCCCATGGTTTTTCCCCTATATTGACCCGTACTGGTCCATACTGGTTTATACTGGTTTATACCAGTGCCAGGCTCCTGTCTGGGCTCCATTTTGACAGATTATACTGGTTTTTACTGGTTTTTATTGGTTTTTACCCATTTATTCCATTTTTTCCCCGTTTTTTCCCAGATTTTTTCACTCATACTGGTCCATACTGGTCCATACTGGTTTATACTGGTTTTTACTGGTCTCAGGCTCCCGTCTGGGCGCCATTTTGGCAGATTATACTGGTTTTTACTGTATTTTTACCACTTTTTTCCCTTTTTTTCCCAGATTTTTTCACTCATACTGGTCCATACTGGTCCATACTGGTCCATACTGGTTTAAACTGGTTTATACTGGTTTCTACTGGTGCCAGGCTCCCGTCTGGGCGCCATTTTGACCGATTATACTGATTTTTACGCATTCATTCCATTTCTTTTCCATTTTTTTCTGGGTTTTTTTTACTCTTACTGGTCCATACTGGTCCGTACTGGTCCATACTGGTTTAAACTGGTTTATACTGGTTTTTACTGGTCTCAGGCTCCCGTCTGGGCGCCATGCTGGACATGCTGACCGACCGTCTGAGCTCGCTGTGCCTCCTGCTCAACCTGGCGCTGCTGTACCCGCGCTGGGCGCCGCTGCTGCAGCTGGGCGTGGCCCTGGACGTGGCCAGCCATTGGCTGCACATGCACTGGTGGGCGTGGCCAGCCCCGGGGGGGGCGTGGCCAGACAAAAAACGGGGTTGGGGGGGTGGGAGGGGGAAATTTTGGGGGAATTTGGGGAAAATTTGGGGGTTTGGGAAGGGAAAAATGGGGATTTGGGGGCGTGGTTTAGCTCAGAGGGGGCGTGGCTTGTTGGGGAGGGGCGTGGTCAGGCCGGGGGGGCGTGGCCAGACAAAAAACGGGGTTGGGGGGGTGGGAGGGGGAAATTTTGGGGGAATTTGGGAAAAATTTGGGGGTT